ACCATTTGTAATATTTTAGTCTAATTACATACAATTCCCTATCCTGTCTGTGGCTATCAGCAGTGTTCAAAATAGAAAGCCTCATTTGAGGAATTTAGGGGGAGCTTTTCTGGTACCTTTTTGTTGTGTATAAATATATATTTTGTTGTATTTAGAGTAGCTGTTGGAAAATATATCTTGCTATGTTTTCCCGTAAGACCAACATTTGAGTATGGGGCATGTTCATAATTTTATTGTTTCACGGTAGCCACGCTGTAATTTGAACACTGGCTATCAGCTCCAAGCCTATTGGTTCCTACTAAAATAAATAGTTCCCTTTTAAAAAACGGGCTCAGTTATTCCCAGCTGGTCACTGTAGTTTTCATCAAATGTTACTCAAACAGGAGGAAATAATGCATGTGTTGGGGACTACTTTCAGAGGCGGATTAATCCACATTTCTCACCTCAGGGAGAATTTCTGGCAGCAGGGCCACATGGTTGGGATTGAGTCCAGATAGTTACAGGAGTAACATGATTTCTAGAGGAAATTGTGAATACTTTGAGGGTTCAGAGTATTTAACAATAGCAAGCCACATCAACCGACATGTCGAGTAGAGTTTCTTCACCTAAAACCTCTAAAATGTCATTAACTGTCTGTGTGGGAAGTGGTTAGTTTAGCCGATGACAGCAATGAGCGGTTTAGTGGTTTGACTAGTGGTTTCTGTGTGTGTGTGTTTGGGTGTGTGTGTTTAGGGGTAGGAGTGAGTGTCGAAGTTGACAGACTTAGTCATCATTAGTCAGTGTTCCCTGTTTTGCAGAAGGACTTAGAACACGCAGAGACACTGATACACTCTAGATTTGTGCAGTATTTGCACAGTGTTTACGACAACATAGAGCTGCTCTGTGTATTTGCATATCAGTAGCTGTTTTTCTCATTATGATTTACAGAGTCAGTTTCTGAGTTAAGAAACTGAAGTTGCACTGTTGATGGTTTCATTAAGTCCTACACCTGAAATCAGTCTACTGAAGCTCATTTACAATAGTGTTGTTTTAAGAGGAAACTCTAATTAGTACTAATTCGTCCAAGGAAGTTGTTAATGATATAACAAAAATTTCGATTGTTTCCAGGTTGGTGAAACTGTCCGAGACAGGACTAACTAAACCGTATATTATTATATTATATAGTTATATATATTATCATCCTTTTTTTTTTTTTTTTTTTTGTTATCTGTCCACACTAAGACAGCATTTCTCACACTCTACAGTGGAGCTTTTCTAAATCGGTCTCCAGAGTGACAGCAGTGTTAATGAAACCTGCAGCCCCCTCATTCATTTCAGTGAAAACCAAAAAGTTGAACCTTGCCCAACTTTCCCTGCAAGTTGCATCTGGCAACAAGCTGCTATGCCAAATTGAAGTTAGGCAAGTGCTTGTTTCTTTGAAGATGCATTGTAAAGACATCAGGACAAAATAAACAAACAGGTAGTGCCTTCTGCTGTTTACCACAAGATCTTGGAGTGGGCGATAATAAAATGCATGTTGTCCACAGTTTTAACTTCAAACTCATGGATCTGTTACTCAAACCTTCCTGGATCACATTTCATCATCTCATGGGAACGGTTTTGTGTTTTTTGACACAGTACTGAATTCCAGTCTGAAATCCTGGTAAATCTGGGTACAAAAGCTGGCTCAGACAAGGCCGTGGGCTGTGTTAAGAAGGCTGTCATCACTATAACAAAACAGCACAGCAATTATCATTAAACTGTGTTTGTTTATTTTGTCAGATGACTTTGCGATCATAAAATGTCGTAATTAGGAGTTACTGTTCACCTGGGACAAGTGATTGCTTAAAGTATAGAGTTTATTTTGACTATAGTGGAACATGTCAAATTGAGCAAAAGGGAAATTATCTCATGTTGCATCAGAACATGACATTGCATGTTGCAAACAGATCTGCAGCATCAATCAGCTACAAACTACAGAAACAGAAAAAAATTGTAACTGAGAATGACTGAATCGTGTGTTTACCGGTAGTGAGGACGTAAAATAAATGGCAAAAAAAGAAATTTTGTCAACAGATGATGCAATATCCATCATGTCTTGTGTGTTTCTTTCATATGCTGGTTCAGCCTACTACCACTATAAACTGTGTGTCTGTGTTTGTGTGTGCGCACATGTGCAAACCAGTCTCTCTTTTAGTTCCTCTTTTAAACAGGACCGTCATTTTTCTCTTTCACAATATGTGACTCTGTGTGAACACGCACACACAAACACAAACAACCACCTTGTTATTCCAGGAACACACACACATTGCTCTGTTGAAAACGGTCTAAATAAGAGATTCCATCCGACCGGCTAATTGTGAGGAAAAACTGAGCGACCCCAACTCAGCAAGCCTTGACAGGACAGACACACACACACACACACACACACACACACAGAGAGAGAGAGCTCACCTCATGTGTGAAATCTTGTCTTATCTACAGAGAGCGAGCGAGACATAGGGGTGATTAGAGAAAGTCCCGGAAAACCCTGTTGTCAAGACACACAACGCCTTTGTGATTTAGTAATCTTGTCTGTGTGTGTGTGTGTGTGTGTGTGTGTCACTGTGTTTGGGATGTGCAAAGGGTGATAAAGGAAGTTTTATCATTGTCTCACACACACCAATCACTGTTTGTTTTGATTTAAGACTATTTTTTGTTGAGCTGCTGGTCTTCCTTTCTTCATTCATTCCTCCACCATGATCGCTATCTGTTTTTCCTGTTACTGTTATTTATCTTGGGATGTCTCTTGGGAATGTGGTCTCTCTGGATTTTGAACTACTTCCCGTCATTTGAAACAAATATTTACTGATGATTGCTGATCTACCTGTTCTTCTCTGTCCCACACCAAATACTTAAAGTTTTTCAGCTCTGCATTGCTACTCTTTCCACTTGGGTGTGTCTTGAAAAATAATTGACTCTGCAATGTGTTTCTGTTAACCTTGCAGTTATGTGAAAAGGCATTTGACAGTAAGGCAGTGTATGAGAGTCTGAATGGAGGAGAGAAAAACCTAAGTTGGTGTGCAAGAGTGTCTTGGGCCACATTCAGGTGTTTGTTTATCCAGTCCTGGCTTTTTATCCCCACTTCTCGATTTCCTTTCTTCTTTGTTTTTCTTTTTTTTCTGAATGTGACATCATTACTCACTGCTTTAGCTGGAATGTGCGGTAACTCCGCCTCCCCCTCTCTTCTCCTGCTCTCCTCCTCATTGTTTGGCTGGGACTGCTGAAGAAAGTTGATCTCTTCACTCCTGGCTCATTTTCTTATTTGTAAGTGGGTAGCATTCCCTCAACTTTCTGCCAGACTAAAGCACCACAAACTAGATTTAGTTTTTTTTCATTTGCAACTTTGTGTCTGCGTTTGACTAACATTCAAACATAGGAGTGATTGAAAGGAACTGAAAACTTACAGGTAAGGTTGTGTGTGCTGGTGAGCTGTATGAGAGGGTAGTGAAAGTGTGTTGTGTGACTGTATCTCTGTGTTCTTGTAAATTATCTCTGTAAAGAATGTGAGTATGAATGTGTGTTTTAATGAAGGTAGGTTAGTGTGAGTTTAGAAATGTGTGTCAACGGACTTTGGATCTCTGACAGTATGTGGACTCAGTGCAGTTGAACAAACACATATTTGAGCGTGTTTATGGGGCATAGTTTTGTCTTGGGACTGTAAGGACAGCTGCACTGTAGCTCTATGTTAGTGAGCACATTAGAGTTATTGTGTGTCTGTATGTTTCTCACTGGAGTGGGCTGAGATACGTTAACATGCATATTAATGTGGGTGTGTAGGCATGTTTGTGTGCCTTTTTTTTTGTGCCTTTTTTGTCTGCGTTGCTCTCTCTCTGTGCTTGTGAGTGTGTCCATGTGTTCTCAGAGTTAGATGAAGGCTCACCTCTGTCAATGGACATCATTGTCTCACTCACTCTCACTCTGTCCCCTCCTGTTTTGTTTCCCCTCTCTCTTTGCCTTTTGTCCTCTTTTCCACTAGGTAGTCAGCTATTGATGTTTTCAACAGTCTTTCATTCATTAAGTGGGTTTTATATCTGTTTGTAAGAACATAGTGTTCATGTTTTTCATAAACAATGACATGTGTTTGAGCGTTTTTTCAGGGAACCCCAACATTTGTCTCTAGTGTGTTTTTCAGAGCCTTTAAATGTACATGCTTGAAATGCTGTGTTGAAATGTTTGGTGGTTTCCTTTATGGTGTTTGTAAGAGAGCGAAGAAGCCAAAGAGCACTGGGTGGAGCATAGAAATATATTTGACAGAGAAATGTTTAGTATGGCATCGAGTTCTTTAAACACAGAGAAGTGTTGACAGTTTGAGAGTATTGTGCCAAATTTGATTTTGGGACAGTAATCACAGGTAAAACAACAAAGACACATGATGATGTGTCTCTGTTGCATTTGTTACAACAAGGCAATGAGTGTAAAAAGTGAGTTAATATCGTCCCACCTGGACAACCACTACCAAAGACTGGTGCAAGTGCTCTTGAGCTTGTTTGTTGTGTCTATGTTGACTGCGTGCTTGTGACAATCAGCATGTTATTTGTACTTATTAGAGCAGACTGACATAGCTGAGAGTCAGTTGTAAAAACTCTTTATGGGTTTGTTGTTGGGCTTTTATAGTTTTGGAAAGTGGCTTGCTTCTACACAAGAAAAGCTCCAACTCTCCTTACCCTTTCTGTCTGATAAATTCCCTGTTGTTCCTCATTTTTTTGTCTCATCCTTCTGCCTGTTTCCAACCCTATCATTTACTCATTCACACTGTTGGATTTTAAGTCTTAAATCCTTTTCAATTGTGCAGGGAGATGGGATATGATGCTTTCTTGTTTCCCGGTGTTTTTCTTTTCCACAGTCATCCTTATCTGTCTTTTTATGTGTCTGTATTTTTTTTCCCCCTCCATGTCATATTCATTCTTCTCCCCCATCTTCATGAGTCTGAATTTTCACCTACACCTCCTTCTCCATCTCCCTCTCCCTCTCTCTCTCTCTGTAAACTGTCCCTGGTGAGGTAATGATGGAACATATGTGGGTAACTGCTCTTTCTCATCTGGATTTAATATATATATATATATATATTTGGTTGCATGTTCAGTATACGCTAAAATGGACAAAGCAATGTCGGCTGCATGTGTTTGTGTCTTTGTGTCTGTACTTAGGGGGGTCCGAGTGTATTATGTTGAGTTTGTAGCCAAGTACAATCAGTCTCTGATTAATGTGCCTCAATGAAATGCTTTCATCTTCTATTCACAATATTTTTCTTTCTTCTGTGCCCCTCATCTCTTTCTTTTCCTCCAATTCTGTGCCATATAACTGCAGAGGCCAGATGGAGGCCTGTGATTTTAGACACACCCAGATAAAATCTTTCTCTGTCTCTCTCTTTCTCTCTCTCGCTCTCTCTCTCTCTCTCTGTCCTCGCTCTCTCTCTCTCCTCTCTCTCTCTCT